TAAATGACTTGACAGAAAACACAAAAACTAAAGGTAGAAACTGTAAATCAACTGTGTTATGATTTCTTACCTTCTAAGTATGATAAAATAAATATTTAAATTTGAAACAAAGCTATATTCTATGCACTTGAAGTTTTATTTAACAAGATATTTGTCAGACATGCAGGTCATGCACAAGGAGAGCAAAATTCATATTGTTTTATTTGGGAGGGTAAAGGGGAAAAGTTTAAACAAATCTCATTTTGTTTTGTCTTTTTTAAAAATCTGACTTTTCAATGGTGATGCACAAGTTCCATCTCCTGAGACCAATAACTTAAGACCAACAACTTATACCATATAAAGGAAGAATAAAACGCATAGCTACCACATGCATGCAGGTGACACAAGATGTTGACAAGGGAAGAGTTCAAACCTTTAATGTGTTATCATGAGATATACTTCCAAGAAGCTTCTTATCATGTGAAAAAGCTACAAAATCAAAAACAAATCATAAGTTAGTCATATAAGAGTTATTCAGAATTGGATACAACAAATTTCAAGAGATCTGAAACTAATGTGCAAACCATACTCAGTCCTTGTAATCAATTAGGCGGTGTTTGTTTAGCATAATATTGGTTTGAGGTATGGTTTTAGAATGGGTGAAATCCATACCTAGTGTTTGTTTATGGAAATTGCAATTTCTAAACCATACTTCAAATCCACAAGGTATGGGGTTAAAACCAAGGAAAGGCGGGTATGGCTCATACCATACCTTCAGGAAATAAAACAAAATATGTTAATCTCCAAACAAAACCAAACACATGGTATTAAGAATCAAGTTCTAACCATGTATCACCCTGGTTTTATTCTTGATTCCAATCCCAAACTACTTTGCAAACCAAACGCCCCTTTATTCTTTCTGTCTAGAATCAATAATCACATATACTAGTTTGGGATATCCAAAAAGAAATGTTACATTTCTACAAGATGTATAGATGTCAAAAATACCCCCACTTCAAGAAGGGCATTCTTAGTGGCACCCAATGCAGAGAATGCAACTATTAATTATGAATATACATGAGTACATGACAATTTTTTTTCATGAAAAGGTATTATATCAGATAATTTTTTTTGGTTCAATTATATTTAAATATATATGCTCTAACTTAAGTAACTATAAGAGGTATCTAGCTTCTTGATGATCACAGAGGTAGCATACCTAGACGCTCAACTGGATACTCTGAGTGCTCAGCAATGGGTTGAATGATTCTGTTGGGCAATATGCCTACCAAACTGTAATAAATCAAAGTCAATACGTAAAAATGAAAAGTTATTGCAGTATAATGCAGAAGAAAAAATCTTCATGTCATGCCATGCCATAACTTTCGTAGAGGTGAGTCCAAACAAAAAACCTATCATATACCTGATGAGCCCATTAGATGATCCAGTAATGAGTCTGTCTTCATCATACTAACATCAGGTAAAAGGACAAAAAATTAGCGTGAAACAGGCCAAAGTAGAAGAACAGAAATGAAAGGTAAATTTGCAATGCTTATTCACCTTCAAGAGAGCATCTACTGAGTTAGGGCTCAGATCAACAAATCGATCACTGTACACACACGTACACAAGTTTAAGATAAGGAAATAAACCATGATTGAAAAAGCATTCTTTATCTTAGAGCTTAGATGGGAAAGCATGAAGAGAGAGACACTACGAGAGGGAATCCATATCCATGTCTATTTTTTTGAAGGTACCATAAATATGAACCTATATGTTAATAGTCTTAAAATAGTTTATAACATCTACAATAAAACCTGAACCATCAAGCATGAGAAAGCATACCTGCAATCTTTGAAGAATCCCCATGAATATAGCAACAAAGTCCCACTTTGTGTCCCACATATAACTTTCCTGCCATTCTGAGAAAATAGGCTCACAATTTAGAGTAGAAACATAGAAAATCAGGTAATAAATCATGCACATCCCCATTTCACCCAAGCTTCATCCTGGTCATGGATAGATTGCCCAGGTTGGGGTTCCTAAGCAGTGACAATTGCCCTATGAAGACTCGCTTTACATGTAGGTCATGCACACAGGTGGAAGAACTACATGTGTATATGCCTTGAAATGGCTTACAATTAAGTGCTTAGAGGTCTTATGAAGGTGTTTGAACCCACTTAAGTAAAACACAATATCTGCTGCTTGTAATTACCACCATGATTTCTCAATCCCCACTTCTTCTTTAGTTATTCTTTTACCTTCCACTGTCTTTCCCCTAGCCAGCTAGAGTGTAAGACACATAAAGCTTATGTCAAGGTTTGAGACCACCGTACTTGGAGTTGTTAGCATGTTGATAATGGTTTGTCAATAGAAACTCTTCTACAATTTCAGATCATATGTAATCTTAAGACAAGTTACTAGATGCAACCTCCACAATACTACAGAAGCATGAACACGATCAAGCATACATAAATCAATAAAAATAAAGGAACATAACAAATACCTTCATTATGACTACAGACAGTGGTTCATCCTCGCAAAATTCGGACTGTGCTTGGACCTTCCATTCATCAACAAACATAGAGCACAAGAATCAAACTCAAGCAAAATCAAACAGCACGTTAGAAGTATAAACTGAGCATCAGCACTTGAACAAGACACAAGTACCTTATTACTCCGGATACTGCATACAGACAGAGTACCATCTCCGCTAGAAAACCAAAAGAAACCATGTCAGAAAATAGAGATACACAACATAAAGATATACAACACAATTTTACACCTATGAGGAAAAGATCTATTCACTTGGTAACTGTTCCTTTCAGCCTTTACATCCCCAACACACCAATTTTCTAGCCAAGTATTTTCTAATGCAAGATATGCTCATAAGTTTCATATCATAGTATTGATTAAATTGAGCAGCTAGAGTAGCTAATCCTATAAACATCAATTATACTCCGACCCAACCTGCAAGCACGTATAACCCTAGATGCAGGGCTAGGAACCCCTTTATTGTAGTATCAATTATTATAATTTATACAAATATAGAACTAAAGATTTTTAGGGTCAAAGCAATGCATGGAAAAACGTGCATAATGATACAAGTAGCAGAACATCAAACAACAAAATGTCACACTTCCCAACTATGTCAAAGTAGATGGAGAAGTTTACTACCTTGTAGCCAAAAGTCTCAACGAATCTGATGCAAAAGTCATATCTGATATGTATTCCTCATGAACTTGAAAAGTGTGACAGCAAGATTGTTGCCTGGTATCCCATAACTATGTACAGAAAATGATGAAAAGAAATGTGATAAGGATGAAGCCAAAGAAAACATCAATAAAGCAAACGTACTTGTCGATAAATTGGTAGGGATAATAAAATATGTATATCTAGGAAGCAACAAAAAAGTGTGCTGGATCAGTTAGCACATTTTTGGTTCCTCCGGAAGCACTTTCCAACAGAAACGACACTTATGAGTCTTAAGACACACACAGACAGGTCCTGGGTTGGAATAGCATGACAGAGTGTCCAATATGTACTAAGTGAGTGTAACACAAAGCAAAAAACTATTTTCCTTTGATAATAACATTTGTCCCCTAAGCAGTCTTTTATATCAAGAGATTAACTTACCAATTTAAACATATAAACTTGGTCTTTAAAATATCACTAAAGAATGATGGATTAGCAGGATATATTAGATTTCTTAGATTTCGACCAATTAGAACCCTACAGCTCATTCGGAAGACCATTGTAAATATTGGAAAATAAAATCACCTTCCTTTCCCTTCTCTTCCTATTCCTTCTCTTCCCTTCCCTTCCTTTCCCTTCCTTTCTCTTCTTTTCCTTTACTAATAATGAGCCAAACAAAGCCTAAAAGATGTGCACCAAGACTCAAGATGACTATAAATAAAAAAAGAACAATTGATTGCTGCTGTAAAAGCAGATGAACATTTGCTTCAACATCTTATGTGTACTGGGCTTCTAGTCACAACAACAAGTCAACGATTCTTTAACTTTGGGTTAATTTATCAACTTCAATCGAACATGCATCATGAAACAAAAATATCCTGTCATATGAGGATACAACATACTATATAAGATAATAAGGGAAAGTGAATTTGAACCTTGACACATCCTGAATCATCCCCCGAGGCAATGGTTGCTTTCAGTCAAATTGATTATACTATTGACTGCATCTCTGCATTATGTTTGATTTCAAAAAATAAGAACCGTAGCAATATCCTTTCTCTTAAGAGTACACATCAAAATCAGTACCATTTTAAATTTTGGAATTTGGAAAGTAGTGCTTTAGTTTGGGATATAAAAACATGCAAAAAAAGTCCAATAACTTTAAGTAGATGACTCACGTGTGAGCATTTTTAAGGTGAGCAATCTTTGCTCCAGTTTCAACATCAGTGGCAAGAATTGAGCAATCTGCGGATCCCGTCACAATTGCTGCACCATCAATACAACCAATTTAAAGGCCATTCATTGTGATGCGGGGAGGAAGAGGGGGGGGAGGAAGGGTGAGGGCGAAGGATTTAATTACCGCGTCCCTCATTGATAAACCGGGTAGTTCTACAAGACTTCTTGTGGGCACGAACATTCAGCAAACTGCAAGAGTAGCAATCAATATCATACTACAACATTTACCTTTTCTTAAGGAAAAAAAAATAACAAGAATAACCCCCCCCCCCCCACCTCTTCTTTTTTTCATACTAGGCTAGAATTACAACACTCAAAACAACATATCACACTCAAGAAATTCACGAAATTCTACCGTTGTGGTTCTGCTTCAGCAGCATAACGATACCTACACAAAATGGAACCACAAAGTGAGTGGACAAAACACTGATCACAAACACCAGCAAAGAAATGGAGCCTAGGAAAATTACTTACAATAGGAGGTAACCATTGATTAATCCAGTTGCAACAAGAGAATCCGACGGATGAAAGTCTACGTCAAAAGGGTGGTCCCCTAATTTTATCTCCATACCTTCCTTCTCAATGAATGACAATTATGCTATGTATCAGTTTCCTATACAAATAATAATTTGTCAAAAAAACCCTTAAGAGTTAAGGACCTTTCCTAGTCTAGTAGCTCAAAATCTTAAATTATGCTAACAGAACAGCATCATATCGAATCCTTGCAATCTTCAAACTAATTCAAACTAAATAAAAAAAAAACCAGAAACATAAATAACAAGAATATTAATCAATTACAAACAAAAATTATAAAAAAAAAAAAAAAAACAAATTTTGCAAATTCAATTCAATCCATCAAAGTAAGCATGAAAAATAATGTTAAATTTTTCTCGCTAAAAGAACATGAATTGCAAGATTCTAGCACTCGTAATAGTCTTTCATAACTTGATCAATTATAAAGAATATTGCAATAATTGACCTAAGAAGAACCCTAATTGAGTATACTGAAAATTAAGTAAAGCGAATAGCAGTGAATTGTGAAATTGATATTTGATAATTGAAAAGAAAGTAAAGAAATTAAGGACTCATGTTAACAGAATAATGTATCCAGGACTCCAAGAGGAAATTAGTGGAGCATCCCATTAGTTCTCTAATGGTAAGAAAAAGTTCATAAAGAATGACACACCACATGACTTTTAGAAGGTTGCATGTAAGATTATTATGCTACCTTTTCCTGGGCGGGAGAGGGGTCTAAAAGGACAATAACATGAATAAACATTCTTATTCAGCCAGAGGTGAACGAACTAGCAGAAAAATCTATACTCTGCACTAATGAAGAATCTGAAATTTTAGTTACTCCGGCCACTTTTGACTTCCATCTCATGGTTTCCGTTATCTTGCAGCTGTTTGATTTATTCTACTCCAAACTACGAACTTACCCCAAAATTGAAGAGCTAATGTGTCATCAATATTGAATAACATCTAGCTAGCTTCAAGCTCTAGTGCAGTGTAATTCTAAAACATTTTATGCAAGGAGCCACTTTTGAATTTCTTCGAATGGTTTTCACTATCTTGCCAACATTTGAGTTTTTCTACTTTCAAGTTTCAACTATGAAGTATGAACTTGCCCCAATATCAAAATGCTTGTGCTTCATCAAGATTGAATAGCTTCAAGCTCACTCTAAGCTCAATATTACAAATTTGGCAACATTTTACGCAAAGAGGTTAACGCCTTATAAAAACTGGACATTTACTATTACTTAATAGCTTTTCATTTCTGCCAAAAAGATAAATACACATCTAATGGTATTTAGTTCATATTCACTGGTAGAAACATGAGCTTACGCCTCACGGTATTTTAGAGCTTTTCCCACCAACAGGTGACTTCCAATTACAAGAACCCAATCCCAGTAAACCAATCCATGAATCAAAAACAAAATCATTCCCATTTTCCAGTCATAATTTATCCTCTAGTAATCGAATCAATTCAAACACTCAGTCGTTAAACGGGAATTATTTTTGAATTGAAAATTAAGTGAACCAAACAAATTAATTAAATCAGTGAACCAAACAAAGGCCTGCAACGCAATAGTACCATATTTGACTCAATTATCAAAATTAGGCTCGAATTAATCGCATAAAATTCTCTAATATCAAAGTAAATTGAACATATAAAAATTCAAGGTACAAAATCAATAGTTATAATGTTTTATAACTTGAGTAATTATATAACTAAGAGTTCAATAGTCCACCTTAGATGAACCCTAAATTGACTATACTTAAATTGACAACAGTATGAAAGTAAACCCTATATTACGAAAATTGATACGAAATATTCAATGATTTAAAGATAAAACCTTACCTTAGAAGATGTATCAATGGAGAAAGAAAGCTCAGAAGCTGCTTCAATGCAGAATTTATAGTACGCTTAAAATGTGGGAGAGAGAGCAAAGGGGTGCAGCGTAAAAGAAAAGAGGAGTGTGTTTTTTAATTTTTTTTTTTTTCCAAGGTCACCGTGACCTAAGGTGAGTCCGTCACGGTCTCACGGAATATAATACTACCTTATTTTCTTTTTAGTTGATACATTTTCCTTTTTACAATGTTTTTTTAGTTGACATGTTTTTTTTGGGTAAATTTTTTACTCCCTCCATTTTTTTATTTTTTTATTTGCATCACTTGAGATTGTACGGAGTTTTAGAAAGAGCTGTATAATATTGTGAGTGGTGAATAAATTATTATGGTAAAAGTAATTTGGGGACATGAAAGTGAAAGTATATGAGAGAGAGTAGTGGGAACCATGAGAGAGAAATGACAAGTTGATTTGAGTGGGATTTAAGGTAAGAGAGAGAAATAATAAAATATAGTTTAAAGTTAAGAAATTTTGACTTTTACCACAAAAAAAATCAAAAAAATTGTTTTTTACCACCAAAACTTCTAAAACTTTTATTTTACCACCAAAAAAAATTTCTAAAAATTGTTTTTTACCACCAAACGTCAAGAAAACAATTTTGTGCGCAAAAAGATGTTTTCATAGGTTTAGGGGGCACTTTGCCCTTCGAGTCTAATTTGAGGTCAAAATTGACAAAAAAATGATCGGAGATGCCTCGTTTTGTGTGTTCACGCAAATCGAGATTTTTTTAAACACGCAAAACGAGGCATTTTCGATCATTTTTTGTTAATTCTGACCTCAAATTGATTCCGTAGACCTAACGTGCCCCCCAAAACCCCTAAAGAGCCTGTGTTTGACACGAAAATCGAAGAATTTAGAAAATTCCGTTAGATTTTTGACGACAGGTGGTAAAAAATAACTTTTAATTTTTTATATGGTGGTAAAATAAAAGTTTTAGAAGTTTTGGTGGTAAAAACCATTTTTTTTGATTTTTTTGGTGGTAAAAACTAAAAAAAATCTTACTACATATAAAAGTGATGCAAATTAAAAAAAAAAAAAACAATCATAAATGGAAAGTGATGCAAATAAAAAAATACCTTGCATTTATAGGTATTCCACTTGCTTTAATTTTTCATTCTCTCTCACTATCTCTCCTCTCCTTAATATATATATCTAAATCAAACGCCGTCAACTAAATAGAAACGGAGGAAGTACGTAATATGGAGCCTTCGTTTTAAAATATTTGCTTCACTTTTTATTTCTGAACATTTTAAAATACTTGTTCCATTTTTATAATTGGAAAGCTACATTTATACTACTAGTTTTTTTGGATCACTTTTTATTTCTGAACATTTTTAAAATACTTGTTCCATTTTTATAATAATTGGAAAGCTACATTTATACTACTAGTTTTTTTGGAGTTCCACCTGGTTCATCCTTTAGGCTAATTCGGATTCGGGGATCAGTTATGGGTGGTTAGATTTTAGTCCCCTCTCAATTATTGTTGTGGGGGATCGAACACGGATGTCTCCTCCCTACCAAGTATAGTCTCAATAATCCGTGGTTTATACACACGAGTGTACAATGCTCATCGTACACTCGGATAAATAAAAAAAGGCGGAAAGAACATCCTGTGTTTCATAAAGAACATACATGTATTTGACAAATAACATGTTTGTATTTGACAAAAACATGCATTACCAAAGAACATAAAGATATAATAAAAAGAACGAGATAAAAAACTTAATAAAATTTTCTAAAAAATTACACATTATTAACGGAAAAAATTTAGAGGTGATAAAAAATCGAGTAGGACCGGGACATATCATAATTTCTCGTGCCCAAACCCGTAGAAAAAGTAGCGGGTTTTGAGCTTTTTTCGAACCCGGTTCGAGTTTTAACTAAAAATGCATTTTTAGGTTTGCCCAAACCCACCCTATTTCGGGCCGGATCGGGTCGGGAAGCAAGTCATGCCAATGTTGATCAACTCTTAAAAAATCCTTACCAAAAATATCATTTCTCCAAAAAATAGTTTTCTATCTCTCCAAAAAAAATTTCGACTTTCCATAATAATTTTTTTTTACTCTAATATTATTTTCAATTAAAAATAATTTAAGATTTCAATATCAAATTTCAAAATAACATATGTTAAAAGAACATAATTTATATTGTAAAGTACATATAGTTAATACCTAAATAACACACTAGTCAAACTCAAAGAATATATGATAATAAAAGTAATTTAAATATGACATATGATAATAAAAATAGAATTTGGACGTCATTACGACCTTAAAGAACATACATGCCAAATTCAAAGAACATACACGCCAAATTCAAAGAACATACTTTGTATTATTAAACCCAAAAAACATATATGTTTATCAACATATGTTAAATGACATAATTATAATGTAAATAACGTATAATTTTACTCAAAAGAACACACTGATCACACTCAAATAACATATTAAAGGTATGTTCTTTATCACACTATATGTTCTTTCTGCCTTTTTTTGTTTACCCGCATGGTGCACCCGGGTGTATTATCTAATTTTCATAGTCTCAATCACCACTACACCAACAGTCAATTAGTACATTTATACTACTAATAGTTATATCACTTATATGTGAATGGCCACGGTAGAGGGGGACTTTCCGCTGGGGCCATTTGAGGCTAGACCACCGTAAATTATTTAATATACTTAGATAATCTATATTTACTCATAAAATATTGGGATATAGTGATTAGTTTGGAGCAAGAACTAAAATATTTAAATTCCGGGCCCTCTAATATTTTCGGCCAAGATCCGCCACGGGCCACGGTCACCTTGTGGTTATTTATTTTATTTTTGGTCTTTCAAAAAAACAAGGCTTTAACTTCTACAACTTGTAATATTTTATGTTTAAATATATATATATATTTTATTTTGCAATTATATATATTTGATAGACATCATAGAAAGATAATAATTGTCCATATATTATGGATATATTTTGCAGTTTAGTTTATAACTAGATGTTATTCAATTATCATATCATATAACTAATATATAAAGCTAAACTTTTAGCCAGGTCACGAAATAGCGACACTTGGCATTCCAACTTTTCGCCAAGTGTCGTACCACCTTGAATAGATTTAAATAAACTTCATATGATAAAAACGTCAAGTGTCGCACCACCTTGGATAGATTTCATAAGATAAAAAAA